TATGTCACTTTTTTGTCGCGCGTGCATCCATTTCTCGTTTCCATAATATTATAGAGCGCAACAGCACCCCTAGACTGGCAAGTAAACGTCTTACTTAAATCTTATTGCACACTTTGTCTGTGCAGAAAGAGACAGAGAACAGAAGGGCTGTACGTATTAGCTTCTCTTTTCTAACTGTATGCGGAGTCTATGTATATTATGTCTATGGTCTCCTTCTATATGTTGTATTCACTTTTCTGGCCGTATGCAGGGTCCATGTATACTATGTCCATGGACGAAACACACTCGCAAGAGTAGAACAATCGCGCCCGCTCGCGCGGGATCTAAGATACGGGATTTATATGCGTTCGTTTATACAACTTCTTTTCCGAGCGCTCTGTTTGTTTGATGCGCAAAGCGTTTTCAAGGACGACCATATCGTTGCAGTTTTCAAGTGAAATCTACACATATATAAAAGTTAAAATATTCTATGGAGACAACAAGATAAATGTTTACGTTATATATCGTTACTAATCAATGTCAATCTATGTCAAAACAATGGTTACCTTGAAATCATCAACAATTATTTCACCGAGAATGTTTTCATCGACACGATTTCGCCGACACCACATTTCGTCGACATTGTTTATATACCGACACGTTGAAATCCCCGACAAATGTTTACAGCGACTCTTGTTTCACCGACAGTTATTTTTACAATCTACAATAATTATATGTGTACATACTTAATATATGTTTATCAGTTACATGTTATCGCCGACGGTTTTTTCTTATATAAAGTAATAATGAGGAATATAATAAAAACAATCATTATATTTTCCCCAGTTACAATCATAGTTTAATTTATGATAATTAATAAACTTATGTTGGGTAATAAAATATACTTTATTTTAGTGACTGCGGAAAATATGATTATTTTTATTATATTCCTCATTATTATTTTATATAAGAAAATAAACCGTCGGCGATAACATATAACTGATAAACATTATATTAAGTATATACACATAATTATTGTAGATAAAAATAACTGTCAGTGAAATGAGTGTCGATGATAAAATTTGTCGGTGTAACGAAAGTCGCTGTAAACATTTGTCGGTGATTTCAGTGTATAATCAATGTGTCAGTATATAAACAATGTCGACGAAATGTGGTATCGGCGAAATCGTGTCGATGAAATAACTGTCGGTGATTTCAAGGTAACCTCAAAACAATAGCAGTTTATGCAGGCACATGATAAACTTAAATATAACTCTATGAAAGGGGGATGATCTGTTGTTACAGATATTAATAATAATAACAATAATCAGTATTAATATATAAATATTATATTATACATATGTACATTATATATAAATAAGACTCACAAAATGATTAGTATATATACCCACATAGCAGGAATGTCCCAAATACATCATAGGAATATCTTGAAGATATCGCATATCCCAAATATATCTTTAGGATATCCCTATGATATATTTTGGATACCTCTGCTAATAACTGGTATCAATAATAGCTTCATTGTTCACAAAAGAAAAGGAAAATTAAATTATACATTATAAATTATATAATTATATTAATGTACATGGTAACAATGATACAGAGTAAATCTCTAGAGTACAAAGTAAATAATATCTGTAATATGATACAAATAGATTCTACGAAAGGATGTAGCCAATAAGCGAGGTAACAGCATTATAGTTGTTATTACTGTCTTACCTGAAAAATTACAATAATTAATAAAATAATGTTGATAGTTAATGAGATTAAGGCTGTCCCTCATCGCAGAACTCTCAATTAATGACATCAGAAGCGATAAAACATACGCTAAAAAAGTTCTTACAAAATACGTGGGAATAAAAAGATATATCCATAAAATGACGTAATCGATCGATCGATGCAAAATAGTCTAAAGACTTCCTTTTTGTTTTAAAAATCAATAAATAAAATTGGTTTGACAAAATCATGAGATAAGGTAGATTGAAAAAAATAGATTGTCACGTTAATTTTACAGTAATTTATTGTTATATATAAAGTGAAAAAAGACTATTTTACAGACGTCTGATTGCATATGTTATTTTGTGTATATATCTTTTTATTTCAACGTATTTTGTAAGAACCTTTATCGTGTATTTTTTAGTTTCTAATGTCAACAATCGAGAGTTTCGCGACGAGGAATTAGGAGCCTTAAATTGAAAGCTACTAAAACCAATATTTACATTCGATGCCGTGATGTCTGCCAACCTTTGTTAACGAGCTTTATTTAATGACCTCTAGTTTTTGGATCTGCTAACAAAAATAATTTAATATGTTGGCGCCAATTTTTCACCATTAAAGTACAATTGTGTATTTCAGACGCGCCGATATTTGTCTTCATCCCTGGTGGATACTGGCAGGAGTTCAGTAAGGACCTGCTCGGATTCTCAGTACCCTTGTTTGTTAAAAACAAAATTAAAGTAATAACAGTTGGATACGATCTATGTCCGCATGGTGAGCAAACAAAAAATGTTATACGTTACCAACGTATTTCTCGAAGTGCTCTGAAACTTAAGAAGTTGCCAATTAAAGATACAACTTCGCGCTAAAAAGTTATCATTTTTTAAATAATGTAACGCACTCCTCTTCCTCTTGTTCTAGTTAAAATATGGGATATAGTGACGGAGGTCAAAACGGCGGTTGCGCAAATATTAAAACACGCGACTGATTCCGGCTGCAAGTGCGTAAGCTCGACACTTATACCGATTTCGAGATAAAAAGTATTCATTATTCGAAACTTATATTAAGAGGATGCCAAAATGGATAACGAATTCCAAAAATGTCGTTAACACAGAAGTGATCTATCAAAATATCATGTTAGATAAGCACTAACATGATAACAGTACTCTTTTTGTATATCTTATACGTACAGATCTTACATAAATGTGTGCTGCTTTAATACTCTTTTTATATATTTTTCATAAATCTTATATAAATGTACTGCTTTGTTTTATCATATTTAAAAGCTAACTATAAGCATATTTATAAATCTTTCTAATAAACTTCTCATATATTTCGAAGTTTCTAAATTCAATTGTAAAAATGCAGCAATTTTCTTTGAAATTTCCTTAAACGGAGCAAACATACACTTGATACATAGAAGTTATAGAACTTTTGTATCAGGCAAATATTTGTTCTAATTGTCAGTTCTCCACATGTCAATTTTGAAATTTCTTACCGTTTTTATCATATATTGAACAATGCTCGAATTTACTTTTGCATGAACTTTCATCGTCTAAAGAATTTATACATAAAAAGAAAAAATAACTAAAAAAATAAAAAAAATATCTATTCAGTAAATACTAATAACATATTTACTTAAACGTAAATTCTTTTATTTAAATAGAATAAACAATTGTCATGAAAAGGCTTTAAGAAAATATATATATTTCCTTATTTAGAAATTATTTTTTTTTGTATGAAAATATGTATATTAGCATAAATAAATATGTTATTAGTAACAATCGAACAAATATCTTTTATTTCTTGGATAATTTTTCTCACAATGTAATTCTGTACAGCTAATACAATGTATTTTAATTACATTTTGTAGAAAAAATGCCAGTATATTCAATGAAGTTTTCAAATATGGCATTCCCTTAAAATTATCAGAAATTTAATTAACAGAAATTAAGTTTGGTCAATAAGAACAGCTCAAGGATATCAGTATTGATTGATATTTATAATTTTAAATTAAAATAAAAGTGTGTACATATGTATTTTACATAAACGCACATATTGAAAATAATTTCAACTTATTTCGACAATAATTGTAATTATTATATTAAAATTATTATTAAAAATATCGTACTACAACATCGTTGCGCAGTTTTTATAGACTCAAATTAATTTCTGTTGATTGCACTCATTGTCTTTCAAAACGCGTATTAGCTTTCTAACAATACAAATCTTACGGTAGATTCGTGTGGATCGGGGGACATAGTGTTGGGGCGCATTTGGCCGCGTCCTTTTTGCACGATGATAACTGAATCAAAAGCATGACGCAACAGAGACATTGCGCCGTTAAAAGGACTCGTCCTGATAGCCGGGTTGTACGACATAAGACCCTCACTTGATCTCAGTTTCTTAACACGCCTCCATCTCACCTAGTGAGAACTCTCTCTCTCTCTCTCTCTCTCTCTCTCTCTCTCTCTCTCTCTCTCTCTC